GACGAGATTCTGTATGATGCACGATCGAATAAGTACCAGCTGTGCAGCAGATATTTCACCCCAGAAATGTTCGAACATGAACTGCAGGCTGAGTAGCATTTGATGGCAAAACCGGGTCGAAGTCGATATGTTGAATTTAATTCAACATCAGCTGCTCAGGTTAGGGCACTGGCTATGGAATAGTAGGCCGTCCAAAAATACATTTTTACTTTCAGGTGTGATTTGTCATAAAATAACCGCCACTTTTGCAAAACTTGATGATGCATATGAGTGTATATAATTTTGCGATACTTGGATAAAAGTATCTAAAAAACATGTCACCTTGTATGTGTTTGTAATAGTAATATTTACTATTAATATAGTAGCAAAATATGCTTGCTCTAAAGCATGTTTACAATGTCCTCACTGGAAGTTTTGCTGCCTCGCTCTGAATCACAGATGATGATGGCACTATGCACATTGAACGTTTGTCAATTTTGTGATGTAAATTGGAGGTTGTACAATTACCATTTACTCGGTAGTTTCACTGTGGTTTGAAACGCACTAATCGATACCGATTGATTATAACCCCGAAACATAAGAAATAGCATTGCAGTTCCCTTTTAACAGCCCACACCAAAATGTACAAATCCTTCCGCATTTAATTTCTTTGCTAAATTCAGAGGATTTGGACACTGTATACAAGGTTCCATACAAAGCTGGAAAGAGGGAGAATTTTCCTGAGATTCGTGTTGCAGCTGGGTGGCGTGAAGTTATCAAGCCTTAAAGTACCCAACTCAACTTCCTATCTGGATAACAATCAGGGTGGACCATCTGAGAAAACTGTCCAGGGTTCGACACGCAGCAGTGCATGTCTTTTCATCATTTAAACTGGTGCAAAAAAAAAAGACCCACGGGACACTTTAGAGGTAAGAAGGACTGGTGAAAGAAACTATTCAGCCTCCTTACTATTCAGCTATTATTCAGTGCTTCTCAAAAACTGAGAGTCAGGACTGGCTGAATTCTTCAGTGGCTTACCTCAGGCAAGTTCCACTGGGACTTGGTCCCATCTGTTGTGTAGAAGTAGGTCTGCCCAAGGTCGTCTACTGACCTGATCCACTGCCATTGAAAACAGAAGGTTTTCCGCATTAGTGATGGACATGCATCAGAAACACTTTGCAAGTTCAGGGCTATACCCAGCAAATACAGCCCTTCATACAGTTTCACTGAGGTTCAGATTCAAAGCTTGGCAAGGAGAGTTCAACCTTGGGAAAGCAGACAATATATTCATTGCAAACTTGCACCTGGTGTCCAGCCCTCTGACTCACACAATTGACAGAAGCAGGAGGGAGTGGACTATATCAGATATACCAATTGCCTGCAAGGGCCAGAGCTGGACACAAGAGTGTACTGTTGTGCAGACACAGGTGCACAACTCTGGTCAGGAGGTTTTCTAGGTTCTTTAAATCATCAACAGCCAAAAAGCCATTGCACAGTGTTACACTGGTTCACACTGGCTCATGATCACTCAATCAGGGCATTAACAGTAGAGCTGAAATGGAAGCTCACAGCCTACTGCAACCCTCCAGCTGCTCTGCACCACTGATTTAAGAAATCCAGAATCTAGCTTCAGAACGTGAAATACAAGAATAACACAGGATCTCCATTCTGCCAGTGCCTTAGTAATGAGATGAACCTTTTTAGAAGTAAATCCATTAGGCCTTTAAAAGAGTACAGAGGCCAAACCTCCATTGCAGAAAGGCGTAGGTCTCACTGGTCACAAGGCTTTTTAAAGCTCTACAGAGCTTCAGAGTGGTTCATTGCGTTAGGAAATGTACAGAAACAACTTTCACGGGTGTGAGCAGTCAGGAAACAAAAGCATTCATCCTCCCCAGCCATGTCAACCACAGATACCCACAATACAAACAGCTTTTACTGCTGTGTTCTCAAAGAAAAACAGCTTTGCGGACGTAACAGAGACCAAGCTTAATAAAAGAGTGCTAAAATTAGTGCACATGTAGCTGTACAGCGTGTTATTTGACTATACAAAGCCCTGGAAAGATAGCGGAAACAACACCAGTGCTTCATAATGAAAACATGAAGCCAGTCAGAGCCAGAGCCAGCCACTTGCTCTCACCTGCTCCTGAGTGAGGTCGCTGGTGTATAACATCTTCCCTTCAGGGTCCCTGCAGACTGACCAGCCTGCTGGCGCTGGGGGCTCCAAGTCAATGCTCACCCTGGGTATTATGGCCTTTTTGAGAGGGCTATAGCTGTAGTCCGTTGGGAACACTAGGCTTGTGGAGTCATCCTCGTTGTAGTCTTCCACAGGGAGTGGTGGCTGCGGACGGCAGGAAGACAAAGACCTGATGAGGCAGGGTGGGATGTGTGTGTGCCGTTGGGGGGGGGGGTTTCAACCACCACAACAGGACAGTGAAACCATTTCTCAAGCTACACACACCCCCCCCCCCAGCCCTGCCCGTGTAGAGCTGTTTTCGGAGCCTCTGCACACAAAAAGCCCCTGGCGATCTGGAACCGCAGTCTTGAACAGGGAAGATTACAAGAGGAGGAGGCTCAAAATCCTCAAAGCCACTGACAAAAATCAACTCAGTGGATTTCTTCGCAATCAATAGTGAAACACAAACCAGAGGCCACCAGTGGAAATCACATGGAAATGTATCCACAAACCCAAAATAAGGAGGCACCTTCTTTATTCAAAAGGTTGTGGGAGTGTGGCACAAGCTACCCAGCCATGGTGGTGAAGCAACAGCTGGATGAGATCATTGGATCACTTAACTACTAACAGGTAGGCCAGATGGGCTGCATTATGTCATTGCATAACATTCTTAAGAATGACTCTGAGAGATGCTGGCTGAGGATGAGGAAGGGAATGGAAACTCAAACTCTAGGAGAGGAAGAAACTTGGCATTATGTTCTCGCCCAGCCTCCTCAGAGCTCAGGCTCTGTGCTGTGTATGCCCTGGAGAGACCCTCCTGAGCAGGCTTAGTGTGTGCTGTGCTGAGATTTCTCAGAAGTCAGATAATCAGAGATTGCCTTGTGACATTGCTTTTTGGAAAGCAGCACACCACTTTTACACTTTTTAAAGGTGGTAGAGACAGAGACAGACCAAGGTGGTAGAGACAGAGACAGAGAGCTTTTAATGCTAATAAGTAAAACCATCAGCAAAGAATCAGAGCAGCAGGCAAGGCCAGTCCAGCGACAGGCCGGGAAGCATGTGCACTGACCCGCCCATCGTCGTGCCTGTCCGGCTCCATGTCATGCACAGGGGGGCAGATGTCCTCTGGGGGCTCCCAGGACGTCTCCCCAGACACGGGGTTGTAGAAGTAGTACCGGCCGCTGTCGTCGTCCAGCAGCTTCTGCCACTCCGAGCCTTGGCCCCCGCTGGCCGGAGGGGTGGGCGACGGCGAGGCAGAGGGTGACAGGGGGGGCGAGGGCTGCTCCTCCAGGGGCGCGTCGCGGTCCAGGAAGGGGCTGTCCCAGGTGGTCTGCCCCGTCGCCGGGTTGTAATAGAACTCCTGGCCGCTCTCCGCGTCAGTGTGCACCTCCCATTCGGGGGACTCGCTGGACAGGTGCCGGCCGGGCGCGGGGTCGGTCGGGGAGCTCAGCGAGGCCGATTTCCGCAACTCGGAGACGTTCACGTACACCGCTGTGTTGGGATTCTCGCTCTGGGACTGAGGGAGAGAATAGGGCTTTCATCAGACCTGCTTCCAGAGCGTGAGCATCTGTCCTGGTTTGAAAAGAAAACCGGACACTTTGGGCTCAATGGGGAGAATGTAATCTTTCACAGACATGGCCTTTTTCATGGACGAGCACCAAGACCCAGGCACGCACACGCACACGCATGTTCCTGTTCCTGCTACACACACACACATCATATACACAAGGATGTGTAAAAAAAAGTACACCCTCTTAAGACCCTATGGTTTTACATATTTTGATTTGATTTATTATTAATGATTCTATACACATGTCTGAGCACGTTCCGGATGATCAACTAATCACATGGCACTTGTTTAGCGGCCCCTGATTCTCAGGATCTTCTTAACTGACATGGAAGCAGGAAGGGTACGCTTACTTTTTCCACACAGGGCTTCTGAATGCTGGCTGATCTTTTTTGTTCAATTTATAATGACAAAGTAAAATTTGCATGTGTGACTTGTCACAGGAATGTACATTTATCCACTGTTTGGGCTCGGTGAGGACTACATGCAAGTCACATATGTGTAAAATCATAGAATCATAATGGGGTGCACTTTTCTTTCCACATCACTGTATATACAGGGGTTCACCAGTCTAACAAACCCTGCTTGAACATCTTCCCTCTGTATCTTCCATAATGAAGATAGTAGAGAAGGACAAAACTGGTGCAAGACAATGTTAGATTTAAGATTTCAATCATTTAAGGCAAAAAACGCACAATGGAAACTTCCCTTTCAAGTGAGTATTAATAGGTAACGTAACCCACGGTTTCTTTTCAGTCGCCGAGGGTCAGCTGATCACGCACTCAGTGAGAGGAGGAAGAAACACACCCAGAAGACTAACTGGAGTTGCTCTTTCTCAAAGCCTCTGTTGTGCAAAACGCTAAAGGTTAATCTTTTCCAAGTCACACATGGAAAGGGAAACTCAAAGGAGAGGCGGGGCTCACAGATGCAGTTGTTCCCTTTTTTTTTTACAAAACAATTTTTTTTTTTTGCTTTGATCGATGTTGACCTCCCCCCTCCTCTCCCCATCCCCACCGCCAGTTTTCCATTTCCAGTGGAAATCCAGGAACACTAAACAGTGGCGATAGCTCCCTGGAAGAATGGACAGTTTCTCGTTCTGTTCCTAGTTTCCAGTTTGCCTCTTACTGTGGTTACTCACCCCAAGCAGTGTACCAGACTCCCAGTGCACTCATTTTCCATTCATTTTTGGACCACTTTATCCATTACAGTGCTGCAGGGAAACCAGAGTCTATCCCAGCAAGCAAACAGGCACAAGGCAGGAGACTCAGTCCACTGCAGAGCAGAGACACACACTTACACCAGGGCCAGTTTTCCCAGAAGACAAATAACCTACCAGTAAATTGTTGGGACTGTGGGAAGAAACCAGAGCACCTGGAGGAAACCCACACAGACGTGAATAGAACATACAAACTCCACACAGACAGTACCCCTGGTCTGCGTCCCACCACAAGCCCTGCTGGCCTCATTTACCAAACCATTAGGAAGAATTACCTGGGCTACAGTGCACAGTGCAAAACTGACAGCCCACTTGCTAAACCATACATTGTCACCTACTTCAACGTAGTGATCTGTTTCACGAACAATTCAGCAAGCCACAGTGACAAAGTCAGAACTGTTCTTTCAGCATGTTCACCAGAGAGCCCTGGCCTTCCTTGGGGACAGTGAATGTCATTGGTGTGCCATTTCACAAATGCACCATGCATGCAAATGACAGCAACGTAGGACTTTGTTGGCAGAACCTGCCAGGGGTGTTATGCAGCATATGCCTATAAAACAATACTTACATGGCACACAGCTACAAATCCTGAATGTATGCTGTAATAGAAGGGCTCAGTGTAAATTCAGTATACCGAAGTCGTATAAAGCCCCTTCCTGGACAACACAGAATTTTCCTGTGGCAGGAGACCCTATGTTTTGGACTACACGCCTCTCCACTGTGCACGCTCCGAACTCACCAGTGATCGTAACTGGCTCCTGGCAGGAGAACTACACAGTAAGAAACACAAAACTAGAACCTCCCACCCCATATCTGTGCATACGAAACACAGGAAAGCCTGCAAAACAATAGGAGCCCACCTACAGTATCTCATTCGGCTTATAATCGCTGGGGAGTCTTGCCCCAGTTACACACTGAACCTTCCCACCACCGTTGTATCTAATGCCTTCAAAAAATAAAAAAAGAGCACCATCACCTAGTTTGAAATCTGCTGTTAATTCTAAATTTGTGTCGGATTCTTTTAACACACCCCAGTGTCAGGATTTCAAACCAAAACGCCTATGAAACCATACGACGCCAAACCTGGGTAGGGTTTTTCGAAGTCTTACGACATGATGAGCAGCACATTGTTTAGGATGGGAAATGCGCAAGCCAAAATGAACTAGAAGACCATGTGCACAACAACAACAACAAAAAAGAACTAAACTCTTGAAGCTTTTGGTTTGGCTGCCAACCCTGCCACTAGAAATGCCACCTCGGATGCCTTTAAAATAATCCCACCGCACATCGACGCACGCCCCAGCAACAGCAGAGAAAGTTTTTAATTCGTGCACAGCTCTCTTTTCTATTTTTAATCCCGCTGAAATGAAAGATGAAATACCGTAACTCTGATATCATGAAAGTTAAGCCATATGCAACACAAAAGACCCTCCCTGTTATTGCTTACACAGTCGCCTGTGAAGACCCAACTCAAAGAGACAGGAAAGGGGCAGACTCTGCTGAGCTGAACATTGTCCAGGATAATGAGCCCTGTGGCCAGTGTCTCGCCTGCCCAGCTGAATGCCTGGGGACTACTACAGAGACTGTTGTCTTTCAATGAGCCCAGTAAGACAGTGGCTGAATGTCTTACAGCTAGAGATTGTCCCCAGTACAGATTTCGAAACAAACGATGGAACGCTAATTACATTTTAATATTAAGCATCCATCCTCATGGTTGTTTTTCCTGTCTGTTCTCACTACACATCTGACACATTAACATTTTGCTTTGCTTTAGGGGGGAAAAAAAGCAAAACAAATGGCAAAATGCTGTCAGAGAACACAAGTCTTTAAAGTATGGATTTTTGATTCGGAAGCCCAAACCGAATTTCTGCTTGCATTCTTCTAAGGTTAGAGAGTTCAGCATTGTGAGTTACTGTAACAGATCTTTTCCCCGTGGTAATGAACTTAGTTTTACATTTCTTTTCCATTCAACAGAAAAAAAGTCTCTTTTTGCTGTGCACAGCAGCTGTGGCCTAATATTTTTAATATAGCTTAGGCACTGATGGTGCCTATTCAAGTTCGTCATCCCAGCCATCTACAAGTATACAGTGGAACGAAATATCGTTCCTATTGGTCCACTGTGCACATAGAGACAGGACAGACCAGACACTGACAAAGCCATTGTAGACACGATACACATAGTGCAAAGTTCAGATCCTGCAAATTACAAGGCTTACAACACACTGGGGGGGATTTAAAACATGTTTCTAGAATTGGAACACAATTGTGCACACAATTATGTTTAAACCTTTGTAAAGGATAGTCTGTGCCCCTGACCTGCCTTACCGTAAAGGTAACATTCTGTATCTAAACAATTTCGAAATAAAAAAAGCCACTCTTTCTGCAAGACAAAGCTAACAACGTGTTCGCATCGGTGTGTTTCCAAATTTATCAAGTGATTTGCCTGCAGGTTATTTTTGATTAATGCAAGACGGTTTGGTGCTCTGAACAGGCTGTCAGAAGTTGCCTTCCGGTAGAGCACAGGGTGAGGAAATGCAAGACTACAGCAGCTACAAACCATACCAGCACATCAACAGATCAGGCTCTGAGACTAAAACGGACTGAAGTGCTCGGTCTACTGTTATACCGACGAGAACTGTCCGGTTCTCCTTACACAAAACTGTAAGCGAGCAAATGGTGAACAGAAGAGCATCGACACCTTGCAGCGTGCATTATTTAATAAGACAATGAATCCTCACACAGGGCGTTTCCAAATGTTTTTAATTATTTGTCCATTTTACCCATCGTTTGTGCTGATTCACAGGGCAGGCTGAGAGATATTCCTTGCTCAAGGGCACAGCTGCTTTCCTCCCAACCCAGGATTTGAACCTGCAACCTTTTATAGTTATGAGTACAGTGCCCTGGCCTCTAATCCACACCGCTGCCTATAGAACAGCTCACCGTTACATCTTTGACAGCATTTATGGCCTAGCCATCGCTGTTTAAATTGTGTTGCTGGGGACAGGCTGAATCTGTGAGGTTGTACGTGGGATTGCAAATGCAGCCAACCAGCCACACAGACACAGTTCGTTTTCTTTACTAGCACTTTCTAGGATGGGAAGATTAACTTAGGAAGAGATAGGCACCGTTCAACATACGGTAAGTGTTACATTTGCATAATTGAAAATATGGGCTGTCAACAAAAAACAACTCGCCACCACATTTTGTGCAGTAGCATCAATTACGTTCCAATAAGAGGAGGCTCAGGTTAATTGTGCTGAACAAACACCAACAAAGAAGGCAACAAGAGAACAAAGCAGTTCTCTTTGTTGCAATACCCAGAACTGTTACTTCATACAAGGCTCTTGTATGCTGTTGCTTTTTTTTTTTTTTTACAAACCTCCTCTGTACCTGTGTTTATCACAGTGGGCATTGTGGGAGTTTTCACAGCTGTGGCTGCTTGACGAAAGGCTCACAACAAGTGTGGAAATGAGTGAGTTAGACACAGAGGGTTTGCTGCTGCTGACACTGAAGAGGTAAACACCGTGAGCATCATCAGTAAAGAGTAAACAGAACAGAACTCTCTGTGCAAAGAAGCAGAATTGAAGCTACTGGTTTTGCATCTTAAAACAGAATAACCTTCAATGGGGACACAACAGGATACAGGCCACCAGTCTGCTTCACAAAGGACATTTTGGAGACACTGATTAATCTAGACGACATGTCTTCGGAGCTTGGGTGGAAACAAAAGAGCTTTGCGAAAACCCATGTGGCCACGAGGAGACCATGCAGACTCCACACAGAAGACCTCCCAAGGCAGAATCGAACCCAAGACTCAGAAGCTGCAAAGCAGCCCCTCTAACTGCAACACCAACACTGCGCTACCCACCCCTGGCTCATTCTCAGCTATTCTGTCAAAAAAGAAATCGTTTTAATTTCGTAAGTAATTTCTAACGGTGAATAGCCTTCCTTCTTGGAATGCATTCATTTTCGGAATATTAGACTGGGCCAGAGATTTAAAAATATTTATTGTTTTAATTTTGTGTAATCACCTTTGACTGCATGGCTGTTTAGCGACTAAATGCCTTGTTCTTCTTGTAAACTGAGAAACATGATTTCAAAAGTTTTCGTTTGCTTTTCGCTGTAAGAGCTGAGAATAAAGTTGAAGAACAGACTGAATACTAAATATTTATGCTCATTCAGATGCAATTCAAACTAGGCTTTTACTAATATCACACCTCATGAAGGCTCATTCATTTCTAAGTAACTGCCAGGAAGAACATTCCCATTATGATTCAAGGAATTAAAAAGCTTTTCCTGTCTGATATCTGATGCTAGAATTGTGTATTCCTCCTTTTTTGCTTAATAGGAACAGGGTCAAATAAAAGTCACAGAATTCAAGGGGGACAGAGCCATCTTTAACGTCAAACACTCAAGAATAAGCTCTACATAAAACACACAATAATACCACTTGAACACGAAAGAGAAGTAAAAAGATCCTTCATGTTGGTAATGTTCACACACCAATTTTGTCGAGTAACGGCTCGACAACTTGAAAAGTGAAACCGCGAGAGACAACTTTAGTCGAAACATTCGACGAGAAAAGAACAGTGCCGAAGTTTTTCTCTCTAACTACCTGACAAACTTTGGGATGGAATCGTTGTTCTGAGCATTAGCATTCGGTTAACCTTTCCCAAGTAGTCTTAAGACAAAGCTGTGCTGTTGAAGTCAGTTCCTGGGTAGTGTGAGAATCAACCTACCTCAGTGGACAATGACAGAGACCTGGATCTGTGCCTGAAGACCCTGTGAGCCATTGTTATCATATCAACCATGTTAATCCAACAGGACAGAAAAATATTTCACGAGGGCAGCATCGCTGTGCAGGACTCAACTCCACAACACCCTGACCACACTACCGCTCAGCGAGACACGGTGGAGGAACAGCCCGCACCAATGAGAGGCACCGCCGCTGATAAACAAAAAAAAGAGAACTGCCTATATACAGAGAGAGAGAGAGAAAACAAGAGAGTGAAAGAGAGAGAGAGAGAGGATGGGTCATGGCACTTCAACCACTTCCTGTCAGCTAGCAAAAAGGAAGTGTAGGCATGGAAACCAATATAATGATGCAAAGCCATTTGCCCAGATTGCAAAGTATTTCGCACAGGGACTGGGTCAGAAAGCAACTTTCTCTTCTGCCATTAAAAATGAACAAAACTCAATAAGGATCAAATCTTTAAAGTGACATAAAACAGCTCTGTAAAATAATGAAACAGCTGTGTTTTACTCAATACCATCGTCTTCTAAGGGTGAGTAGCTGTCCTGGGATTCTCTCTCTCTCGGTCTCTCAAACACAGGAGGGGAACAGCAGCTCGTACGCCTTTATTTAGGGGTTTAAAAGGAAGGAATATTGTCAACTGATCTAAAACGAAGCTACAGAAAGCAGCACTACCACTTTGCATCCTGATCCCATCAAATCCAAGATGCTAAGCAAGGTTGGGCCTGGGCAATACTGGGGTTTGAGACCTCTTAGGAAGCTGCTGAAAGTGGTGTTGGTAGACCAGTAGGTGGTGCTGTTCTACATAGACAAGATTTTCTAAACTAAAACAGTAATAGGCAACATTGTACACTGGATAATGTAGACTGTGCTGTACATTAGATACTTTGTGGTAAAAGTGAGAATTTAAGTGATCTGTTGTACAGAGGAGCTGCTGGTGTATTAAGCTGGGTTCTGCATTTCAGTGATAGGAGATAATCAGGGCGAGGTTGTGAGAGGCTGCATTAAACAATAAAAATATGATCCTTTCTCTCCTGCTGAATCCCCCATCAAAGTATGGGTGTTTATTTATTTTTCAGCCTTTTCAGCACAGAGAGTAAAGCAATGGAGGAGGAATAAGACAGTCATGGAGAACCGAGCAGCAGGGAAGAGGTCAGAAAGGGTAAGAGACGGACGATTTAAACCCTGCCCTTCACACAGGATCTTCAAAGAGGGCCACGACGCCAAGCCTGTCTGCTCCTCTCTCTCTCCACACCCCTTTTTTCAGTGTGACAGCCTCCTCCACCACAGCGCGCAGAGGAAGTGCTCTGTATTGTCACTTCTCTTCCTCTTTTGGGAGGCTAGAAACCAGCCCTGTTCCTTTTCTTTGCAAAACGAAAACCGAAAAGGCGCAAAGCCCAGCGGTTGAAGCCCACCCCCCACCTCCCCAGAGCTCCTGGCCACACTCAGTGAAAGAGGAGGTGCTGGGGTTGAGGGCTGTGGCGCATTTTTGAAACAGATTTGAAAACCAAACTCCCACCAAGCAGAGCCTTCATTAATTCACTAATTGAGTTGGGTGCCAGCCTGTGAGATTATGAACTGAGGATTTTCTTTAAAAAAAGAGAGAGCACTGCAAACCTTACAGCATGGGAAAAGCTAACAGCACCCTGAATCGCGGTTTTAGTACATAAGAAGCCTGACTGTTCAATGTTGAGAGTATAAAGACATTACACACGTTGGGAGGACATTAAGTCCGTTTTGTCCGATTGCCTTCTGGTAGTTTAATGATTTAACAATCCCATGAATGTTTCTTCGGAGCAGAATGCAAATTGAAGCCACACTGAGGCTGTGAATTTTACCCTCAGTGACAAAGTACAGAGGCTAACACAGTGGTAAGCATTGCTGCCTCAAAGCACTGGGGCCCCGAGCTTAATTCCTGGTGTTCTATCTGTGTGGAGTTTGCATGTTCTCCCCATTTTCACCAAGGTTTTTCCCCACAGTTCAAAGACATGGTGGTTGGTTAATTGGCTTCTAAGAAAACTGGCCCCGAGGAGAGTATGTGTGGGTGTCTGTGTCTGTGTGTCCCCTGTGATGGACTGGTGTCCTGTCCAGGGTGTATTCTGCCTCGCACCCACTGCTTGCTGGGATAGGCTCCAGCTCCCCTGCAACCCTGTACAGGATAAAGTGGTTTAGAACATGACCGTAGGGATGAGAATGAACACTGATTTGTGGTACTCCTCTGTTTCTAGTGAGACTCAGCGAGAACAGCTTTGTTTTTAATATACTGTAAAACCAGTTTGTCATGGAAAAGTGCAAATTCTTTGCCTTAATTAAAAATAAAAAAACACTAAAAAGAACTGTAATAATCTCTTTAAAATTGCCCCTAATCCGGCAATCAGCAAGAATCAAGCATTTCTGCTCGGTCAGCTTGAGCAGGACTCTCTGTGACAGAATGAACTAAGGGCGTTGCACCGCGACATGACGTTAGTGCGTTGAATATCACAAACTCCCCTCAGCTTCAAGCCCAGTGCACACTGACTTGTTCACTGCAGACAAGAGAGGGCATGTCAAGGAGCTGGAAAACTGGTTCTGTTTTGCAACACCTCCCAGCAAGCAGCTTTGTTATTCAAATATTCCTCGTGACGGATTTCAAAAAAGAAAAAAACTTGTTTGTATGATCAGCAGGGAGATACAAATGACCAACATGAATGAAACGGTATCAATGCCATGCAGAAATATATCTGCTGCTGAATAAAGGTTCAATTCTTCCCCCCCCAATGACGCCCAGCAACCAGCCACCCCTATAAAACACACAGCAGATCAATAAAGCAATGAGAGATGTTCAACAAAGAGCTGGGAAGCCAGCACAAGCAAAGAAAAAAATAAAGAATCCAGTCCCTTAGATTTTACTCCCTTGTGCTACTGTATGCCTGGATTTCAGCCGAGTGGAGCTCAGTTAAGGATCCAAGTAAAAAACTCAGCTCAAAAACTGAGCAGGGTTGCAGGCCAAAAAGCAAACCCATAATGATCTGGGCTTAACACTAGTGACATGCCATTGAAAACCTTATCCTTAATTACTAAAGTAATTGTCAGCACTTGGATCAAGTAAGTCCACACAACGACACGAGAGAAATATTGGTTGGACTTCAGTCCTTCCCCAGCCTGGATTAGGAGAGACTCAGTGAACTACACCTGCTCTGGCTGTAGCTTTATAAATAACCGCCATCCACAAAACAACCAACTAAAAAAGGGAAGGAGATTTGGTTTCAGATTCAATAACGTTCACATCAAGCCCTGCAAAGATTGGGGGTTAAACCGTTCTGGTTTAGGTTCATCATCCGCAGCCAAGTGTGCGAAAAGACTGCAAATCCCCTGCTACTTTTGTCATTGAACCAGCATCCTTCAATGGGGTGGCCGTCTGCCGTTTTCATCACACTGGATGGAGAGACAGGCAGGAAAGTCTAGGAAGAATCTGCAATGTTTTTAAATATCCTGGATTAATTTATCAAGCTTTATCAGTCTAGTGTAATATGCTTTGTGTGCAGTCTGATGTTTTAACACTGTATTACATCACAGGTCTTATCCCTGGTCCTGGAGAGCCCCAATACAGCAGGTTTTACAGAGAGCCTTTAAATCTTCACTTTCCAAAGGCCTAGAACAATGTAACAATGATCAATTAAACATTGAAACGCTGACTAATGGATCAGCTACTTAAACAGGTGCCCCTAATGGTTGGATAACTGGCGATTTACCTGTCATTTCCTAGAATCAGGAGTGGATTTGGGCTTTCAGGTACTGGGTCTGGAGGCCCATACTGTAGATCATAAAAAAAATAGCTGGTGTTGGTCTCAGAGTGGCTCTCCCAGTAAAGACATTCACTCAGTGCACCAGCTGAAATTATTAGTTCATTATAATGGAGATTAGCTGGTTAGAGCTTCTCTCTGCTTTGTAGCAAACAGTGTCTCCCGTCACTCTTGGTAGGGTTAATAGTGATTATGATAGAGGCGAATCAAAGGTAAAATCTCTCTTCCACAAGTAGGAGAATTCCGAGTCTCTTTCCTGTGCATTCAATTGTCTCCTCTCTTGCTCTGAAACTTGCCCTGCCAAGGCAGTCCCCCGTGATGCAAGGCTCTTCCTAGTTGCACATTAAAGGAAAGCAGGTTTTGCTTAGATTGGCATGCCTGTGAGTGAGCAGTGTGGGAGTGTGTGGAGTTTCTAGCTCTCTAACAGCAAACACAGACCTCTTTTCAAATGAATGTGACAGAAGTCACAGTCCCAGCTTCTTCCCTTTTTTTCTGTGTCACCTTAGCAAAACCGAGAGTATGCATTTGAATGTCATCGGTGAATTTATCAGATGAAAGATGATCTGAATCCTGCGGTGTTATTTGTTTTTCTTTTTTCAGGGAAGTGCTTTGTCCAGCCTGACCCTTTAAACATCCAAGGATTTGCAGAAATATCAAGGGCAGTGGGAGATCAATATTGCTGATGGCCTTTACTAAGCAATTCTGTGTGATCTGGCGTTGCTGCTCTGTTGGCGCTGTGAGAGAGACACCTGCAATCCCATGTGTCCACTTGGGAAAAGGTGAAATAAATGAATCTGATGCTGAAGACGGTCTCACTCAGAAAGCGTCTAACTCAGGAAACAGAGCTGCTGCAGAACTGGAGTGAGAAAATCACCTTTCGATCCCCACCAGAGCTAATTGTGTGACACATTAAGGACCTGCAACTGCAGATCAAAACGGAAACAAGACTGAAAAACACTTTGAAGGTCATTTCTGATGCTAAACAACATGACTTCTCTCATGCACCGGACACATGTTTTTTTCCTGCAATTTGGAATCGTTCCTCCTTGGTTTTTTTTCCTCACGGCTTCCCGGAAATCCTGGAATTGCCCCCTGCAAACTAACTCCGCTCCAAAGCCACAACCTCTGCAGCTGCCCGAGTTCCATGCTGACTTCAGTATTTGCACACTGCAAGAGGCACATACGCCACAGAAGGGCTATTATTGAGCACAGAAGTAACATGGCTCTTATTGACAGCTTCATCAACTTAGAGGTGCTGGCCAAGTCACGAGAGAACAGTGTGTTCAATGGAAACTCAAGCATGCTAAGTCTGACTCCAGTTAAGTGCCAGTACATCTCCCTGGGCATCCAGTTCACGGCTGTCCAATAATTCTTCCCATTTTCAACATCTGGATAATAATAATCCTTATACTCACATAGCGTTTTTCTGGATACTCCTCTCAGAAAGCGCTTCACAGGTAATGGGGATTCCCCTCCACCACCACCAGTGTGTAGCCCCCACTGGATGATGTGATGGCAGCCAGAGTGCTCCAGTACACTCCCCACACACCAGCTCTCAGGGCGGAGGAGAACAGAGTGATGAAGCCAGTTTAAAGATGGGGATTATTAAGAAGACTTGATTGGTAAGGGCCAAAGGAGAAATTTGACCAGGACACTGGGGTTACACCCCTACTCCTTCTGAGAAATACTGTGGGATTTTTAATGACCACAGAGAGTCAAGACCTCGGAGTTTCATCTCATTCGAAGGACAGCACCATTTTTATAGCACGGTCCCGTCACTTTATTGGGGCCCACACAGACTGCAGGGTGAGCACCCCCTACTGGTTCCACTAACACCTCTTCCAGCAGCAACCTTAGCTTTCACAGGAGGTCTCCCATCCAGGTACTGGCCAGGCTCACACCTGCTGAGCTTCTGTGGGCTGCCAGCTGGGAGTTGAAGGGTGATAGAGCTGCTAGCATATAAGACTTATACAGCCAGGTCTGCATGCCCATGTTTGATAGTTGAGTTCCTTCAGAATACTTTTTACCCTGTCTGAATACTCTAACCATAATACAGTACATAGCTTAATGCCTTTATGCCTCTCATCTTTCCTAATAAAGTTCAGAGAAAGCAGGAATGTACCAGTGTGTGAAAAACAGAGCTCCGTAATTACTTTTTTGCTGATGTGACATATTAAGAGCTTCAACTTTCCAAATGTACTTAATGAAAGAGCTCAACATCACAAACCTAGGTGGAGTCAGACAGGTTTTTTGTTCTCTTCAGAACGACACCTCCAATCAACACAAACCTATAGGTGTACTGCAAAATGTCGTAAAGAAATATAACAGCAACATGCAGGAGGAAAGTTTTACCATGTTATGCAACATTGTTTAAATTAGGGAACACCAAGTATGACTTCCTTAAATTTTCATGTGCGTGAATTTGTAGGTTTGAGATACTTTCATCAAAAACCACAATACTTGTTAATAAATTCTTTTAAAAAACCACCAGGACACGAAAAAGGAACTGAACTTTGAAGCAAAACATGAATTACACTGGGCAGAAAACGGTTCATGTTGCACAGTCTGACTAACATCGCCTTGAGGGTCAAAGGGGTTCTGCTGTTTTCCTACCATCTGAGCTATAAAGACCTTATTCACATTAATTGATCCAACTGATTATTTTTCCAGGACTTTTGAAGTGAAACATCAAAAGATCTTTAAAATACACATACAAAGCTTTATCTTAACAGAGCTACAGGTGTCCAGTCATGAACTGGAATTAAGAAGCTAAACCATCCTGAGACAATGGACGATTTTGTTTTCACAGGCTGGCGAAGCTGGACTTGGAAAAATACATTTTATTGCTCAGGGTTCGAGAAAGAAAGAAACATGTTTATTTATTTAATGCAATACAGGGTATTAAAAAAAGTAAAACTCTGTTCTCATAAAAGCAGCACTGTTCAAGAGATCCCAAACTGGAGTTTTCCTAAAATTAAGCACCAGGGAAAATGCATCAAGAAAATGGTGAAATAACATCAGTGCAAAATCTGATGGTTCAATCAGCTGGCAGTTAAGATATCTGTGATCACTGTCTTGTAATAAACAGATGTGTGAGCCTGTCAACTTCTCTAATGCCCACAACTGTCCCAACACTATAATATTATCCAATGTTTTGTCAATATGATACCACTGTGCTTTGACAACGTCATGTCCCTGAAATCCTTTCAAACAAAGAGTTTCCCCAAGCAATACAAAACAAAGACCCTGATACCTCCTTTATGCACTTGTCCTTCTTTCCAAACAGAGCTTATCACACCCTATGTTACTGCTCCACTACATAAATCACACATCATGAAAGACAGGCAGTGCATCATCTCAGAACAGCCGAGCATACATTCATTCAAAACAAGGCATGATGAATACAGCTTCTCCCAAAAGCAGTAATTAGATTAAAATATTGGTAATCAAGCAAGATGTAGCAAAATGGTTTTAAAACAAACTGGGCCTTTTCAAGGAACAGACAAAAACACAACAGGAGATGTCTGCTCACCTTTCACTTTCCCACAGGTTCATTATTTTCCCCCACACAGCTCAGACTAACAAGGGGTATCGAGTGGCTTCTACAGGACACATGTACACGGCACTCACAAAGGACAGTAAGGTACCTCCCAGTCAGAATAAGGGAGAACTCTGTCTCCGGTTCTCTGCTCAAAGTCAGTTTGAGCACACGCAAAAACAAAAGAAGACACATGGATTCTACCCTAACCACCATAGCCTGGCAATACAGTTAAGTGTTTCTGTTGAACAAAATGTACTTTCAAAACACAACCCAAACT